TGTTTTACTTTTTCGACTTCTTCTTGAAAACTACAAGCCTGAATGCTTTGATACTTGCTGTATATGTACCTTGGGTAGACCTCTCTTAGGTTTGTTCATTTCATGTTGATATCTTCAATTCTCTAATTTTGGTGAATATTTTTGTCATTTTTGGTAAAAAGTGATATTTTCGACTTCTTGTTAAAAACCGCAAGTGCAATTGCTTTCATATTACATATATAGGTACTACATGTGGACCTCTCTCAGATTTGTTCATTTTGTAATGATATCTTTAATTCTCTAATTTTGGTGAATATTTTTGTCATTTTTGGTAAAAAGTGATATTTTCGACTTCTTGTTAAAAACCGCAAGTCCAATTGCTTTGATACTACATATATAGGTACTACATGTGAACCTCTCTCAGATTTGTTCATTTCATGATGATATCTTCAATTCTCTAATTTTGGTGAATATTTTTGTCATTTTTGGTAAAAAGTGATATTTTCGACTTTCTTGTTAAAAACCGGAAGTCCGGTTGCTTTGATATTACATATATAGGTACTACATGTGGACCTCTCTCAGATTTGTTCATTTTGTGATGATATCTTCAATTCTCTAATTTTGATGAATATTTTTGTCATTTTTGGTAAAAAGTGATATATTCGACTTCTTGTTAAAAACCAATAGTTCAATTGCTTTGATATTACATATATAGATACTACATGTAGACCTTTCTCAGATTTGTTCATTTTGTGATGATATCTTCAATTCTCTAATTAATTTATTTTGGTGAATATTTTTGTAATTTTTGGTAAAAAGTGATAATTTCGACTTCTTGTTAAAAACTGTAAGTCCGATTGCTCTGATACTATTCATATTGTTCATTTTCTAATGATGTCTTCAGTTCTTTAATTGAAATGTGCATTGCTAACAGCGGAGCTATCTCAGCCGATAGGCTGCTTGTTTAGAATGTACCGTAAAATTTGTATTAGAAGCCGCATCCCTAATAGAAGAAGCAACAATTGAGAACCAAAAATTTACTATTTCTCGTATGTGTAGAATCTTTAATAGAATCTGCATCCCTTCTGTTGCATTGTACCATTTTAATAGAAGTCGCAGCTTTCAATACAGATTTTACAGTAATTATGCTATTATTTTCACAGTTGTTGGAGCATTTCCTTGAAGAGTATTTTGATCATAACCCAATAAGTCAGGTGAGTGGAAGCCAGATTTTTCACATGACCATATTGTGTATATCATTCATAGTGGGTGACATTTAGTGTGTTGATATGTACGCTATACGTCATCAGTCAGTCATGTGTGTGTGTGTGTGCTAGAACAGTACATGTATGTGAAGTAAACTAAATCGTGCAACGCTACAGTTTATAAGGCTGCGATAAAAGAATTCCAGACTGAAGAACAACAATTTCTTGCCTGGTGTAATGACATTTATATCTGATAATGACTGAAAATTTGTTTTGAAAAAAATATGACAGACTTCAAAACACAACAGTAGACCTATTAGTGCTATTGCATTACTACTGATGTGCCTACCTAATTAGCATAAATTAGCATATAAAATATATAACATAATTTCACTGTCGTTTTGACCTTGGATTATCACCTGACATCACTTATCTGTAGAGCTTGTTGATACCTGTGGCGTGACCTTTAGTTTGTGGACAGTGTTAACCTTTGATGTCACTTGTACCAACCTGCCATGGAACAAGTGACACTACAAAATAAACTCAGGATATATTCACTTAGAAGTTAGATTAAGTCAGCTGCTAGATGATTCATTACATTCATTTCAAATTGTATTTAATTTGTCTGCTTTAATTCTCTAATTTTGGTGAATATTTTTGTCATTTTTGATAAAAAGTGATATTTTCGACTTCCAATTGCTTTGATATTACATATATAGGTATTACATGAGGACCTCTCTCAGATTTGTTCATTTTTTAATGATATCTTCTGTTCTTTAATTGCCATGTGCATTGCTAACAGCGGAGCTATCTCAGCCGACAGGCTGCTTGTTTTTATATATAATTCAATGTCGAAAATATGGCTTTATTTCATCGTAATTGACCCTCATTAAAGTGTATAGCACATTTAAGCCTAGAAATATCCAACAAATGCCACGTTTGTCAAATTCCATGAGATGTTATGACGTCACTGCGGCACTGTAACTTTAGTTGCTCACAATCAGCAAAACAATGATTTATTATCCAAGGCTGATCAGCCCACAATATTGCATCGTCACGTATAGTCACCATATTACACGTGGTGATTACGATGATACTGAAAAGTATGCACGAAGACTGTACAGCAGGAGTATCGACCAATGTGTAGCGGAGGTTGATGCAACGGCGTACTGTCTGAGTGCATACTTTGAGGTATCCTCATAATAACCTTATTATTATACATCTGTTCCTTTCAAGAATACACCACGGGAATGCCAACTTTGTGTTGGTTTCGGTCAAACCATGGGGGCTGCCATGTGTTTGTTTTTATTATTAGAGGACGCTAACGCGCGTAATCATTCCATATTTAAAATTCGCATTTCCTAATATGGTAGGATGAAAATACCCCATACAATACTGCAAATTTACGACACGCTGTAACTTGTGGTGTTAGGGTGACAGATGTATAATAATAGTAAATAATAAAATACTTAAAAAACTCTTTATTAAATGGATGTTTGTGCAGTTCTTTCAAGTAAAACTACCAGGGTGGGTGGGGGGTGGTACATGTTATATCCTGCACTAAAATTGAATTCTCAACATACTAATTAGTCCAACACAGTATTTTTCATGTTGGTTTCTTTTGTGTCTTACAGGTTGGTATACTAACAACCAGCAATAAACGAGCTAACAGACTCACAGAACTTGGCGGTAACCCAAAACGACACATCGCTGCACTACAGAAATGCGTTGATAAACAGTGTTTGAAAGAGCCATCATTACAGAATGCGTTAGAGTTAGCAGCTACCACACTCAGGTACATTGTACATGCAGCTTGATAGTTTTCATTTGTGGTTACTTGAAATACAAATTCTCTTTGAGGCAGTTTGAGCCAAATCCAAATTTTACACTTTTTTTCATTGCTATACCTTTATTGTATTTTATAATCAAAGTCCCATAGAGGATACGATAACAATAAAGATGATTATTATTATATTATTATTAATATTACATGCAATGCATTATGGGAGATAGCCTCCCATTGTATTCAACATAAAACAAGTATCAGCCTCGAGACTCGCAAAATTTTTTGAAATGTTTTCCAAATGTTAGATTTCATATATACAACTTTTTCATCCAATGTCACGTAGCAAAATTTTCAGATCTGAATAAAGAATCTCACTATAGAAACCAGTGTGAAAATGACAATTTTGACCATTTTCCAAAATATTTCGCACTCTTGTATCTCATCTGATGACCCCAATTTTTGTTTTCATTTTCAATATTCTGATGGTATGAACTCACCATAATGAAATTATGACGAACATGACATATACCGTAATCAGTATAATGGTATGAAACATTAAAATGAAATTATTCTTGTAGCTTTATATTTTTTTTTCATTAAAGGCATGTACCTGGACACGCTAGTAGAGAAGTGTTGGTGATATTAGGCAGCTTGACAACATGTGACCCTGGTAACATACATGATACAATTAAGGTAGGTGTGCATTTTAAAACACTTGTTGCATGAATGAACATGCCTGTTTCTTTTCAAGGTGTACAATGTACTTGTTTTGAAAAATTCAGATTTACATTGTTATCAGTTAATCCTGTTAGAATTGCTTGTAACACACCATTTGTGAAGTGGATGACAATTTTGTATCTTATTTGTATCCTGCTCACACATGTTCATGAGGCCAAGCACTCGGCTAGATTCTGTTTGGTAATTCAGATTTAGAACCTACATCGGTAATACGATTACAAGAAATGTTATAATATATATGGATTTGTATGAGAAACTTTCACACATTGTATGTTAATTTCAGTCCATATAAGGTAAAAATGATTTACATAGAAAACAATTATTCTGTTTTTTAAACCTAGTTGACATAAGGTATATGGATTTGTATAAGAAACACTTTCATATTTTATGTTAATTTCATAAAAGATTTACATATTGTTTAATTACAGTCCATGAAAGATTTAAATATCCGATGCTCTGTGATTGGTTTGTCTGCTGATGTCCGAGTCTGTAAAAGGCTGTGTAGTGAGACTCAGGGTAGTTATAGTGTTATATTAGATGAACCGCATTTTAAAGAGGTTTTACTGGAACATATAAAACCACCACTAGCCACTGTAAGTATTTTATTCTGTTGTTAGCCCCCGCCAGATCTGTGATCCGGGCGGGGGGTATAATTTGGGTTGTGTCTGTGCAATGTGCGTGCACATTTTCATGTTACCAGCTTTT